AACCAGTGCGCGATCTGAATTCTTTAATTTTGTCTAGAACACTGTTGAATTTCTTCCTTCCCATGAAGGTAAAAAAACCATTACCGTCAATAGCAAACCTATCTACTGGTTTATTTGATCCAGGGTATGGGAATGGTAATGTAAGGAAATTTTTCGGATCTGAATAAACATCACAAAGATCGGGAAGTTTCATTATGCCCTCCATAATTTTACTAGCAATTTCTAAGAAGTAATTATGCGCGTTAAGATGATCGATGTTCTGTTTTTAAATAAAAATCTAAAAATTATACACACCTACTAGTTTTACTTTTTTACTTTCTTGGCCTCCATCTTTCTCGTCTGAATCATCTCGGTTTCTTTTTCCTGATCGAGTATATAGATTTTTTCGACTAAAATGAGTTACAAATTTCCTTATTCAAGAAGTAAAATATTGGAAACACTTACTGGGCAATTGCACGATAACATGGACGACATTATCTGGAAGTTTGCCTGGAAAAGCTTCTTTAAACCTCATAGTTGAAAACAACTTCTCGCCTCCAAATTCTTGCTTGATATCAATTTCGGCGTGAGGCTTTTCGAGTATTTTCCACTTCCTGTTTCCTTCGTTAAGACCTTCGACCTTCCATAGCGTTAGTTGGTCTGGGTCAATATCAGTAAGGGCACGTTGCTTCCGATTCCAGATGAGCATCTTGAGATGCCAAACTGTGAGAACGTCGATAGAAATTTCAATATTACCAATGATATTTTTTTCGGCGATGTCTACCGCGAAAGGACTCGTTAGAGGATCAACTAGAACGATACAAAATAATGACATTTCAACGATATATCTACAAACGTGAAAGCAGAGTTAAAAACGGTTATAACATTAATTTAGTAAAATAGAAAGAACGACCTTGGCTGACGATTGTTTGAGTGAAGAGTCATTGTGTGCAGAACCGGTTTGTGACTTGCTTTGATAATGATTGAAAAAATCAACGCAGTAAATAAAAATGGTTAGAAAATTTTTTTTTCTCTTATGACAATTATGGTGCGGGAAATCTATACCCGACAATCACGTGACCACGAAGACCTATCAACTTTAAAAAGCATCAACTTTTTATAGAGGCAATATTTTGAAAAACTGACCGGTAACTTTGTTCTTTGTAGTAAGCTCTACAAAGTTACCGGTCAGTTTTTCAAAATATTGCCTCTATAAAAAGTTGATGCTTTTTAAAGTTACTATGTTTTTACAAAATTTGAAACGCTTTGTTTATCACATGCGAAACATTTGATTGGTCAGTGTCGATCATTTGAAGAAATGATCCGATTTACAGGAATAAGAAAGAGAGCTTTAATGCAGAAATAGAAGCTTATAAGCGATGCAGTACATGCTCAAAAAACAGACTAATGAAAAGAAAATTACGCTTTATGGAGGATTCGATGAGGTATGATTAAGATGACCTGCGTTGTGAATTTTCTACATATTAATGTAATATCCAATTTAGGAGGAGATGATGGAGTGGTGGAAGAAGTATAATACCATTTTACCAACAATGAATAAATGGCAGAAGGATCAAATTGAGGACATCACCGGAAAAATTCCACTTTTCTTAAACAATTTATTAGAATCTAGTTACGATAATTTTGAAAAGGCATTGGACTACTTAAATAAGAAATTAAAATCCAAGATAAAAGAACCAATGACAAACTTTTCAGACACTATACCAGAAGGAAGACGGGATTTGTATGTATTTATATTTTGTTTTGCAATTGGTAAACTTATGCGAAAGCTGACTTCTCTATTTGCAGTCATGTCAACTTGATGTCATCATTTCTGGCACAAGGATGTCCTCCGAGTGGCTATGGAGTTAATGATTTTGATCATCGCTTCTTCTACATTGAAAATGAAATATGCTATTATGTCTGTGGAATGGCAAGAGATTGTATGGCGAATTATCTCTATGAAAAGGGCAAAATGGAAGTATTTGCGGATATAAATTGGATTTCTTGTATAAAGACTTTCAAGAACAATCCAACAGTAATGGGATTTATTGTGGAAAAGGCATGCATTGCCAACATTTGGAAAAATGGGCTTACAGTAAATGGTACAAATTTTAAGCCAAACGAAATTAAGTTTTTTTACAAAGAAATAAAAATTTCTGCAAGTGAAGGAACATGCACATTTTATTTACCACGTATTTGGAATCAAAAGGATATCGATGGATTACTGATCTCTTACCAAACAGTCCGAGGGCGTATTAAGTTGTGTGTTGCCCCAATTCAAATTACACTTAATAAGGATAATCATAAAAATTCGGAGAGTAGTTTTTTCGATAGTATTTGGAGAGAATTAGAATTACCAAAATATGATGATATTGAGATATTGTTTATATGGATCACCTATAAAAGCGATGCAAATAAGGAAGTGAGATCTAATTTTAGATGCTTACGGTCTGGAAATAACGAAATTAATCCTGATTACACTCGGGTGGTGATGGGATTTGTGAATATCAGCCAAGATATTCATAATTATCTATCTAAGGTTTTAAGCGTATAATTATAGTTCATGGAATTTTAAAATATTTTATCTCAAAATGATGTAATAAAAAATATATCTTTATTTTGTATTGAAAATCCAAAAATTTTCTATAAACCTCACGTAAGCTAAAAATATTTATTTCATTGGGTAGCGGACGTTTAAAGAGAGGAATTTCTCGAGCCCTAACTGAAGTTGTTAGGCGAAAGGCGAAACCTAGTTTCGACTTTCGCCAAAAAAAATTCAAAAGACGAAATGGCGAAACTGGCGAAAGGTGGCGAAACTGGTGAAAAGCAATAATAGTGGCAAAAGAAAACTAATGTAATTGATAATTTTGTTCTCTGAATCTCATTTCCATATTTGTCTAGCAGTAAGATGTTATTTACCTTCTCTCTTTGTATCGCCATAGTTATTATTATGGCGCTTTGTAAACTGCCCTAGAATTTGAAAAGTTTGACTACTGATAGTGAGTCAATTTAATTTGACTTCATGTATATATATCAAGATAAATTAGAGTAATCAAGATAATTGTGAAATATGTGCTGGTTTAAATTATGATACACTACTGTACCCCAAATCTAATGTCTAGCCCATCTTTCCACTATTCAACCCATCTTTTCACTATATCTGCTTAATTTTTTTAATTTCACAAATTTGCGTAATGTATCAATCTTACCTTAGTTATATTAGCCGTTATTATGTATTCTTAGTGGCTTAATACATGCAACCATGTAGACACACAAAATATCATATGAGTGCGTGAGAATAAAAACCTGGAACTGATTATAATGATTTACTATGATCAGTTACAGGTTTTCATT